CCGTTTAACATAGACCTAAACCGAACTTGACCATAACCCCAAATCGGCTCAGGACCAGCACGTTCACCACACAAAAGCGACAACCAGCGGGAAGCATTAGGATTGCGCAGCAGCACGAACTGCTGGTGGCCCATCTGCCGGTGATTCTTAGGGCGACATAGCCGTATGGCGGCGGCTCCGGCATTCATGGTGATGGACCCCGGCAGGCTGACGTCAGCAAAAGTTAGCTTGAACAGTTCTCCCGGGCGAAGGAGGCACAGAAACCCTATTTCAAGCAACACTGCGAAAGTCCACCACTGAGTTCGTGCGACACCCCTTTTGCTCAAACCCTTTGCCCTAGCCAATCCTACCAAAATAACCCAAATTCCTACAGGCAGCGGTGGTCGGAGACGGCTAATGCGGGACTCTTCCCACGCTTTCAGCGTGGTCCAAGTTTCGACCAGCTGTCCCCGGAGACGCGGCTGGAGTGCTTGACACGCGAGCACTGCGTGCTTGGCTAACCACAAAGAACCGCGATGTCGAGTCGCGTGCTGCACCTCAACGAACTGGTGTAGGCACTCGTCCAGCAACGGAGGCTGGGACAACAGGGACACGAGCGACAAGCGCCTGCTACGCCGAAGAAACTGGACGAAAGCCCGGCACGCGCGAGCGAGGCGACAGCGATATGCAACAGAGTAGCTGGACAAACGTATTTCTGCGCCAGACACAGCAGCACGTCTCGTGCTTCCAAATTTTGAATTCACCATGCGCAAAGTGTACAATGCTAACAAAAAACTACTAATTGACAACCATTAGAGGATTGAGCCAAATGTCTACCAGCGACTATGCAGGACAGAACTGGTTCTTAGACATGCGCAGCAATCCGCCTCGCAGGGTTGCTCCTAGGAAACTTCGGTGGCGGGTCTGCTATCCCATGGATGATGCGATGCCAACACTCTTCTAGCGACCATGGCAGTTGCACCTGTTTCGACACGTCATGCTGAAGCAGCTCGCTAGCTTCCCGGAGGGGCTCAGGCGGAGGTATGCATAAACCTCTTGATGGGTAATCAGCAGGATTGGAGTGCGTGCTCACCCATACATTTGTGATTTGCTTTGCTCCGGCTATCACCCATCCCAAGCAAGAACGCAATATCCGGTTCAGTTTGACTGAGGAACTGCGCCCTTTTGCCCAAGCACCGGCCACGACTCTGGAGTCAACCAAGTTACAGGTTCTTAGGCTGCAAGGACATTGATGGACTAGATCCTTGAGCTCTTCCTTTACCATGCGCATTTCTAAGAGGTTGATGTGGGCGGGCTTGTTGTACCGAACCTGTTGTGTTTCGACCCACTTGTGCTGCAACATGACTTTCTCAACCACTTGGGGGCACATGTGCATAGAAGAGGGCGGCACTATGGGGGCGAGATGCCAATCTAAACGCGCATATTCACCATTATGAACCCCTATCCTGTACAGCAACTGTGCCAAGGCCGGGCTTGTGAGCGTACAGGCGCGCCCGCCACCGCGCAGGCTGGCGTCGGTACAGGAAACTCGGGCTGCTACTGGCATTCGAACGTTCGAGTGACAGACTGGCAAAAGGAGAGCTGCCTGCAGCAATTCTTCCTTTACCGCGCAAGGTAACTTGAAGGCCTTAGACTTTTCAACCTTGCTCATGAACTTATAGGTCCTGGAAAACACGGACATGCACAAACGGTTGTGGAGAAAAGGGTGCACAAATAAACCCACCAACTTTTGCAAGGCTTTTAAAGAAACGAAATCTAAGCTGACAAAAGACTCCACTAGTTGAAGAATTTGCTGCAAACGCTCATACGGAGCACCAACACGGCCTGAGCGTGAGCACACTTCTGTTCCCCAAGCTTTGAAGGAGTACTTCTTGGTAAAGGCTTTCTTTGCTGAGACCGGCAAGTGCAAGCTTGCGTACTGTCGTCGGCTTCTGCTCAAGAGTTCTTGATCCAAATTATCTTCCCTTAACCCCGAACGTCTACAAGGCAATATCTGGAAAACAAGATGATCATCAATATATAACCCCTCCAAGGTGTGTTTAGCAGGGATTATCTTCCCGAACTCCAGGGTGTTCTCACGGCTCATGCAGCGCGCGTCTTCCAGGATTTGACGGTGCACTTCTTGCGCTATGTCAACAGCATTGCAATCCCCCATACACAACACCTTGAATGCAGCCACATACTTAACACCTGATGCTAACCCCAAATCTGGCAGGAGCGAACCGTCAAACTCACGGCCAAAAGCGTTCCTGGGAACCCACGCGGGAAGATGTCGGATTAGGTAGAAATAGTTGGACAAATCGTCCCCTGAACATCTTAAAGAAAAACCTTCGGGGATGATTAACTGGGTGAGCTGCGAGCCATTAGGCAACCTGGCCCAAACCAATCTTTTCTCTCTGATGTTGAAGGGGCGACGATCATTTATTAGCCTATCCGACTCCTCTTTATGGGCTACAGCAAACAACCCGCCAGAAATT